GCAGCACCCTGAAGACAGACAGCAAAGGGTGAGGACTCGGGCCACTCCTGCAACTGATGTGCCAGGGGTGGCCGCAGGTGTTTGGCTGGCCTAGCTGGGCAGCTGGAGCAACCTTTACTGCCTTGTGGCAGACTGACGGAGGAATGCACTGGGAGTTTCAGGAATTCTGCTTTGGCTTAGGAGTATGTATGGCAGCTGGTGGCTCAGATGGTAAAGAATCTGCTTGCGGTTCAGGAGGCCTGGGTTCAATCCCTGGGTCAGGAAGATCCCCCGGAAGAGGGAATGGCAACCCACTCTGGTATTCTTGCCTGGAGAATTCCATAGACAGGGGAGGTTGGCAGGCTATAGTTCATGAAGTCACAAAGAATCGGACACAACTGAGCAATTAGACTAACAATAAGGGCAGCTGTAAGTTCCCCAAAGCACTCAGTGAGGGCTCATGGGAGCTGCCCAGAGCAGATGGGCAATTCTCTCATTTTTAAACAAAAGCCACCAAGCTGGAACTCCAAAACTTCAAGACCACCAAACCTACTGATGAGCCGGCTTTGGCGAGACAGGCCTCCTCCATCAACTATGTCCACCGTTCTGTCTCCTCTGTGGAATGATGGAAAGTCTACTGTGAGAGACTCTGATTTTATGCTGATCGTTAACTAAGAAGATTTCTCTCCAGAGATTTATTACATTAATGAGCTCTGAAATTACTCAGAGCAATTAAGTATATTGTTTTGAAACTCTTTAGAAATCATCAAAACACACTGGTTGTTTTTCAGGGAAACATAAATAAGGGATGCAGTTGGTATCCAGACAAACCCAGCCGGCTCGCCTCCCACTGGCTTTGGGAAGCCCTAGCTCCCAGTTCCCAAGGTAGATATGTGCCTGCCCGGCTGAGAGAGACTCTGCCTCCCATACATAGTGGTACTTTCTTTCTGAAGAAAAGACTAGACTCTGCATCCAAGTGGCCAGACCTTGGATGGCTCTGCTCCCTGGGGCCAGTATGAGAGCTGGGGCTTGTCCTGCAAACTGCTCCGCACTCACTCACCAGAAGCAGAAAGACAGCTGAAGTCCACTCGTGTGGGATCAGAAGGCCTCTCGTTTCCCAACGGCTGAGTGGCTTCTACATCCCTTGCTCACCTAACACAGACCTATAGGAGCCACTGCCCCTCAACTGCCCACGACACAACCGGGTCCTCAGATGGGGCCCCTGAATTGCACAGATGACTCACTCCTCCGTAACAAGTCACCATCATCACACTCACCTTCACAGCCGCTTCCCAGGCCAGATGGAGAAGGGCAGGAGCCAAGAGAAGCCCTCAGGTTTCAAGCTGCCTAACTCAAACACAGACCATGCCCCTCACTAGCTGTCGCACATAATGCAAAGACTCTATTCACGCAGCGTATGGCACAGAACTTGGTCCTCCTAAACACCTTGTAACGATAGTTCATCAATTTGCCAACATTCTCTCATTTACTTTGTTGTTGTTATTGGAGTATAATTGCTTTACAACAATTAGTTTCTGCTGTAGCACGAAGTGGTTAGTTTCTGCTATAGCACGAAGTGAATCAACTACATGTGCACATATATCCCCTCCCTCTCACCTCCCCCATCCCAGCCCTCTAGGTCATCACACAGCACCAAGCTGAGACCACTGTGCTTACAGCAGCTTCCCACTAGCTTTGCATTTTACACATGATGGAGTATATACGCCAATCCTAACCTCCCGTTTCATCCCACCCTCCCCTTACCCCACCCCACTCCTTGTCTGAATGTCCGTTCTACACGTCTGCATCCCTATCCCCATCCTGAAAACAGGTTCGTCTGTGGAATCTAGAAAAATGCTACAGAAGAATCTCTCATTTACTTCTCACAACTATGAGATGGGAGACACTATTTTTCCCTGTTTCACAAATAAAGAAACTGAGACACACGGAAGGGAAGTGATTTGCCCAAGTTAGCTGTAGGCTTGGAGTTTATCTAGATAAACTTGAGAGTCCTCTCCCCACACAGGGAGGCTGTCCTTACACGGACATGGACCATTTCTTGTCGATTCAGCCAGTGGGAGCCCCCAGAAGAGAACAAGAGGGATAGAAAAAGTGGGGCCACTCACTCTCCCAGCTCTCTCCTGGCTGGGATGCTCTTTATTTGTGACCTCTCTTCTCCTCTCTGCTTTCAGGCTCCAAGATGCTCTGTCCCCCAAACACTCAGGTCTGCACTTCCCCACTCCCACACCCACACTCCTAAGTCCCACCTGCTCCTTTACAAATTGTCCTTTCATTAAACTCCTCTCATTTGCGCCCTTTGAGTGCGTCATCTGTCTCCTGCTGGGCCCCAAACTCCCAAGTCTTTGCTCTAGGGACTACTGGGTACTGCCTAGGTTCTGGGCCCTAGAAAACAAGAGTGTTGACAGGAGGAAAAAAAATCATCTGTACATTTTTCACTTTTGAGGCTAAAATGAAGACCAGGAAGGTCCCAACTCTCTAAGCCCTTTGACTGGGCTTCCAGCTTCCTGCCGGATGATGGGGGCCAGAGGAGCCCTGTCACGACCACCAGCATGGACCCTGGGAGCCCACGGACACAGTCAGAGTCCTGGCTACTTAAATAACAGCCCAGGACAGCCCCAGCACCTCCTCTCAGCTCTGCTGTAAGCTCTGTGGTCCAGGAAGAAGACTAATACTACATGCAGAGGATAAGGGGAGACCCCAAACCCCAGATCTGGGGAGCAATTCACCAGCAAACCCTTCCTGGAAGCCTACCTGCCAGGAAACTAGCTGACCTTTTAGAGCCTCCAAGTCCCAAGTTCAACTGAGTGTGGCCTAGTCATTCTGGGCCCAGGATGGCCAGAGGGCATTGCGTTCTGCAGACAGACCCCTCCCCACAGCACAGAGGGGAAGGCTCTGCCCTGGAGCTTACAAGGATAGCAGTGTCCTAAGAGACTGGGGTCCCAGGGCAGGGGCGGGAATGAGCTGTTCTCTTTGTGTCTTTGCTTCCCTTCCCATCACCCTCTGTGGCCAATCACGTCCATCTTCAGGTAAACATAAAATACACGTCCATTAATTTCTAGCACCATGAAGGGCCCAGATCAAATCCCTTTGCCTACATGGAGCTGGGCAAGGGAGTTCTGGCTGAGTCCACTCAGACTTGCTAAGATGCCTCGTGCTGCAGTGTCCACCCCACGGAAACTCCATGAAGAGACAAAACCTTCATAGTCTCACATATACCCACCTGCTTCCTAATGCTTGCAGGCCTGGACACAGCCCACTTCCCAGATGTTCCAAATAACAGTCAAAACAAAGAGAATCGCTGGCTTCCCTGGTGGCTCAGTGGTAAAGAGTCTGTCTGCCAACGCAGCAGACACGGGTTCGATCCCTGATCTGGAAAGACCCCATATACCACAGAGCAACTAAGCCCATGTGCCACAAATATTGAGCCTGTGCTCTGGAGCCCATGAGCTGCAACTACGGAAGCCCAAGCGCCTCGAACCCATGCGCTACAACAAGAGAAGCCCGGGATGGGGAATACATGTAAAAAAAAAAAAAAAAGATACACTATGGTTGTGATAAAAAAATAAATTAATTAATTAATTAAATTAAAAAAAAAAAAAAAAAGAGAAGCCACTGCAAGGAGAAACGCTTGCACCGCCACTAGAGAGTAGCCCCCGCTCACTGCAACTAAAGAAAAGCATGAACAGCAAGGACAACCCAGCACAGTCAAAAATAAAATAAAATAATAAAATTATATATTAAACATTTTTTAAATTACAGACTAGTGGGACAATACAGCCGTCAGAGATCATCTGCACCATTATACAGATGGTACAGATTTTTTTCAATATTTTATTAAAATAGTATATTTAACCACTGTTAACCAAGAATATTAACTTCCTCCCACGCCCCCACCTCCATATGCAACACGACACAGTAGTTCTTTCAAATACCCTTAATCATGATAACCAACAAAAACATTTCAAAGTCAAGTTTGCAACTAAAACTGAGACCTTGGAAAAATTCTGCATTAGAAGAAACATCCCAAAGCTCTCGAGCAGAATTCTTTTCTCTGCCTGAGAATTGATGCGGTATGCCACCCACCTGACATTACTCCTGCTCTGCTTTTTCTCCTCTATGCACAGAATAACGTCTCATTTATAAGTACCCACTTCATAAATAAATCGGCATTTTCACCTCATTTAATATTCCTTTTCAGCTTCACAAAGAAACCAGTAAATAAAACTGTCAACGACAGTCACGACTTAGGCTCTCACAGTAAGATAAAAAAAACTTGAAAATATACAGCCATGCATCGACACTAATTTACATAAAAAGATTTTCAAAAGTGCAAGGCAAAATATGCATTTTTTAGGGGAGTTTTTAGGCACATCCATTTCTTAAAGCAAGCTTCAGTATGAATTCCAGTTTTTTCTTCATGACACCTGTTTTAGTTAGTCTTTCTTAAAAAAAAAAAAAAAACATCTATCAAGTGTGAAATAGGGCATCTACGGTCCCAAAAGGTGAGGTTTTCAGTTATGGCGTGTCCATCATTTTCTTATCCTTGCCAGCTTTGGTTTGGAGATGTGCTGGTTATTTGCCTGATACTCAAGTTCCTTCCAGAAGTAGAGGATGGCTTTGTTTAACCCTCCCTCCAGGTGGACCACTGGCTCCCACCCCAGCATCAGCTTCGCTTCCTTCTCTGGGGGTCATCCTGGGCTTCAGAAAGAAATTGAATTTCACTCCCACAGCCAACGAGTTTTCTGATGAGCTGAGCAAATTCTAGGATGGTGTGTTCTTCTGGGTTCCCCAGGTTGACGGGGCTGCTGACGTTGCTGTTCATGAGTGCCACGAGGCCATTCACCAGGTCACTGACTACTGGAAGGCCCTCGTCTGAGACCCAGATCCGTACACCATGAGTGGCTCCCCTTGCAGCGCCTGCAGGATGAAGTTGCTGACCACCCGGCCATCGTTCATGTGCATTCGGGGCCGAAGATGTTGAAGATCCTGGCTACGCGCACCTCCACGCCCTCCTGCTTCTCGCAAGTGTAGCACATGATCTCCGCGACTCGCTTCCCTTCATTTATCAGGCTCAGGGTCCTATGGGATTCACATGGCCCAAGTAATCCTTGGTTTGTGGGGGGGCTTCAGGGTCTCCGTACACCTCTGAGGTGGCGCCCAGAAATAGACGGGCCCCAGCTCGCTCTGCCAGCCCCAGCATGTTCAGTGTCCTGATGGTGTTGGTCTTTAGTGCCTTGATGGGGTTGTACATGTAATTGGGAGGGGAGGCAGAAGAGACCAGGTGGTAGATCTGGTCCACTTCAACCTACAGGGGCTCCAACACATCATAGTTGATCAGCTCAAAGTTCTCCTGGCTGATCCAGTGTTCCATGTTCCTCTTCCTGCCCTTGAAGAAGTTGTCCATCACGGTCACTTTGTGACCATCCATCATGAGCTTGTCCGTGAGGTGGGAACCCACAAAGCCTGCGTCCCTGGTTACCAAAATTATTTTACAGTCCTCTTCTGATGAAAATTTTACTGACGAGTATCTCTGGGTGAATCTCTTTTTCAAATCTCTGATTTTCTCCGTTACTGGTTCAATGATCTCTTCAATCCTGCTCTCAATTCTGAGCTCCCCATTTTCCTGAATGGACCTCATGTTAACCAAGTTGTCCCAAACAGAAGCCAGGGAGGCAAGTAGCGTGATGCCCAGCAGCAGCTTCATCCTCCTGCAGCTGACGGCGGACGCGAGGAGCAGCGGCTGGCTCAGCATCCCAGGCCGCGCACTGCAGCCCCAGATGGTACAGATTTTACAGATGGAAAAAGCTGACATAGCTGGGGGAAAGGGCTCAGACAAAAGTCTGGATGCAAAGACAAAAGGTCCAACCCCCAATGCAGGGCTCTCTAGGCTGTTACTCACTGCAGTCTGGCTATATCCATTTCCATCTCTAAATTGCCCCAGAACAGTGCTTGGACCCAACCCAAGGAAGAACAATGCCATCTGGCCTCTGAGAGTTTGGGGAAAGCTCTCTTTAGCACTAGATGCCTGGTGGCACTGGGCTTTCTTTGAGTTGAGTAATAATTGATGTTTGCTGCCACGGTTGCCTCAAGGGTTATAAGCCAGGGCCAGCTGCAGGCCCAGGGCTGCACACCATTTGATTGCATTGGAAGGGTGGTAAATATAAACGGTGCTGGGCTGGGCTTAGTCGCTCAGTCGTGTCCGACTCTTTGCAACCCTATGGACTGTAGCCTGCCAGGTTCCTCTGTCCATGGGATTCTCCAGGAAAGAATATTGGAGAGGGTTGTCATGCCCTTCTCCAGGGGATCTTCCTGACCCAGGGATCAAACCCAGGTCTCCTGCATTGCAGGCAGATTTTTTACCATCTGAGCCACAAGGGAAACCCAATGTAAACGGTGGTTCTCTTTAAAAAGTGTCCTTTAAAACTTAAAACAGGGACTTCCCTAGCAGTCCAGTGGTTAAGAATTCACCTTGAAATGCAGGGGACACAGGTTTGATCCCTGGATGGGCAACTAAGATCCCACCTGCTGAGAGGCAACTAAACCAGTGTCCCAGAACTACTGAACCTGTGTGCCACAACTAGAGAGAAGCCCAAGCAACCCAACATAGAGCCTTCCAGCTGCAACGGAGACTCAGTGCAGCCAAAAATAAATGAATATGCCTGTTCTTAAAAAAATAAAAAGTTAAAACATCCTAAGGAGTTTAGAGCCTAACATGTAGATTTCAGCTTCTCCCACTCTCTACAAGCTCTGCACCAATAAATCGTAAAGGTCTTAGTATCCTTACAGATTAATATAGAATAAAGCAATCCCTGTAAAGTCTCACTGAACCACTGCAAAAGTAACCAACCAGAGGGGATGATCGGGGCTTGGATGAGTGAATCCTGAGGGTAGGACCTCTGGTTATTACAGAGCATTCCTGAGCCCCAGGCTCTGGAAGCACTATTTGGGAGGGAGTTGTTTTTCGGTTTTCAAAATGAGACTTTAATCTGTCAGGGGATTACAAAATACCAACTCCACCAAGGAGGCTTTCTAGATTCAGAGAGCTCCCACTGGAAGCACAGCACCAATTATCACATCCCAATCTTGGAAGAGCTATGAACTTTGTCTGTGAACAACATCCAATGCAGCCAGGCCAGGAGGTGGCGCTATTGAGGAAAATAGGATCTTGACCATCCTCAGACTCACTCCAGTCCTCTGCCCAGTTCCCTCATGGCCACAAAACCCAAGATTTTCAACAGCATCCATCCCCTCCCCCATCACCTTCCCTCCCCTAACCCAGCCACACCTCCTACTTCTAGAAGGTATAACTTTATTGGGAAGGTCCTTTGATGAAGCCAAAGAGCCAAACCAAACAGGACCAAGGATCCAAGTGGGGGATGACTCAGACACACGTGACCAGTATTGGCTCAAGTGATGCATCCAGTGGAGCCTTTTGCTAAAAGGAGCTCACCATGGCGCCACAGGCAGACCCTCAGCCGTGGCCAGGCTCATGGGCACCATGATATGACAGAAATAAAAGTAAATTATATCACTTGTCATCATTAAGAAAAATTTTCATCTCCGTTCTTCATTCGAAAAGCACTATATTTAATGAATGAGTACTGAGTCATGACATGTAAATGACTGAAATATTGGAATTATACTAAGGTCAACTAACGTATTTTTAAACCATGAAATTAAGGGATCTATTCATGCCTGTCGACAGTGCCACTCTCAGTGATTATGATCTTTGCAAAGCTGCCCCTGAACACTGGGGAATGGTGGACAGTTCTACAAGACATGGACCAAGTTCCTGTGGAAACTCTCCTGGGATCAAATTAAAGAAATCTCGCTGACCTGTTTGCCCAGGTTCTGCAAGCCTCAGAACACTATACATATCTAATGAAGGCATGGCTGGTCTTGTGCAAGGCAAGCCCCATTCCAAAGAGCATCTTGTAGATTTATCACTCGTGGGAGAGGGAACACTGGCTCCTGTGGTTCTTCCAAAATGGTAGCCCCCACAAGCTGTGCCTCGGGACAGCAGCTCTTTGTCAGCCTCATTAATCTCCTCTGATTTTCTCTAAGAAAATTAAGATGCCTCAGCATCTGAACTCTGCAAAAAAATTGGTAAAAGATGGCAGAGAAAAGATAAAAGATGCTAAGATCCACCAGAAAACCTGAGATGAGGAAAGTTATGGTGAGGAACTATCTTCTCAGGACCAGATACTTTCAGGCTAAAGTGGGTATGTTTTCATTTTTTCACCCTGTAGCCATCTTCAATTTTTTGGTAAAATAATACTCCAAACTTCTTTTGATGAAAGACTCCTTACCATTCTCAGTCATAAAGCTTGGGTGGGATTTACCCTAGATGCAGCATCAAGTTTGAACACCAAGTGTCCTAAGTCCATCAACATATGACTTTACCCCAACCACAGGAATTAATGACCTAGTTCTGTAATTGATGATTATGTATAGATACAAAGCTTTTGATGTCAGAAACATTTGCATTCATGAAAGGAAGTATTTAGAGATATCGGGAGGGGGATGTATTGCTGTACAGAAGCCGATGAGGAAGCCAATACCAAGAGGCTTCTTGGTGCTAGCCTATAATCTGCTGGATCAAACCTTACCTGAAGCAGATATGACTTGGAATTTTTTGTTTACAAAAACCAAAACATTTTCCTTTTTCTTTAATCCAGCATGAGTTGGGTGGATTTCTTGACAAGCCATATTCCCAGAATGTGAAAGTTTCTTTCTGGAATCCTGTGGCCTAGAGTTTAGAGAGCCTTTCTGACCTCTCCCTCTAACACCTAAATATGATTGGACTCCAAGCAAGCTTTCCACAAGAGCTGTTAACAACACCAAAGAAAGGCAACTGTGTTAGCACCAAGGATAGGAAGCCCACGGTTTCTCCAAGAGCTGGTGGCAAGGACTGATAGCCATTCAGGACTAACCACTCACACTTTATTGTTTGTGGTTGACCTCTATTTTCGTTCATCAAATCTCAGGCCATCCCAGTCTTTAACATTTGGAAATGCTGTTGCCTTGAACTGTCCAAATCCATTGCTGATTAAAGCCTCTACCAACCAACTTTATTAGCTTCTCTGAAATTCTGTTGGAAGCATATGAGGAAGAAACATGTTTAAACGCCCCCACTCATGTTTTCATAAAAGGGTTGCATAGCTCTCTCTGAATTTGATCACAGGCTATGAGGCCATTACAGTCTTGTGTGAAGCTAGACTTGCAAAAAGAGGGAGGAGAAAGACGTGTTCAAGGAGCCCATATCTGCAGCTGAGACTGCAGCCTGGGGGCAGAAAAGAGAGGCAGAGGCAGACTGCACCGGTGCCTCTCTGATTCCAGCATTCAGATCAGGATGCAAACATGGAATTTCAAGTACTGCCTGGGTAGAAAGGACCTTAAATGTCACTTATTACTAGCTCCTAATTTAATCTTTCTTTCCTCCCAATACTTTCCTCCAAGTGGTCACATAGCCTGTGTTGAACACCTCTGGTGATGAGAACTCACTCCCCAAGTCCTATGGAGGCAATACCATTTGGGTATTGCACGCTGTTCTGGGTACATTGCCACCTTTCTGAAGTTCTCAGTCCTCTGAGCTGCTCAGCACTCACATCCTCCTCTTCCCCTGGAAGCTCTTCAAACACAGAAAGCCAGAAATAATGGTCCGCGGTGTGTGTATATTCTGAGCTGAATGTTTCCTATTCCCTCCTCACATAACGCTGGCCCTATGTATCCAAACCTGTCCCAATCTTTACTGACCACAATAATTTTCAGGGTGGTCTGATCAGCATAGTAGGACAGAGCTCCTTCTCATCAGCTCCAGTGTTCATTATCCTATTCTTCCATCAATACAACCACAATTGCAATGTGGCTGGAGAGACACACAGCAAGGTCAGACCAACAGAATTCCCTTCCTCATTTTTCAATGAAGGTAACATATGTCCTGCTGTTACATTTCAAAGTGTTGCCAGTGACTATAAAACCCCATTGCTTGCTCTATGCTACTTTTGTACCCTTCACCATCCCCAGCATCTTGGGC